GCTTCTGTTTCTGATTAAGTGCTGACCAGAATATATTCTAAGAACAAAATAAACTAGAAACAAATCTTTAACTTTATTTAGAAGGTTTGTTATGGGTAATGATATTGGTTTTGTAATTATGAAACAATTTGTATTTATTGTGGGATAGATCAAATGAGTATGTATATTGATGTTGGGAATCAGGGTTCTTATGTGGAAAAAGTAAAAAACACATATGGGCCCTAGCCAGTTTTGCTCAGTGGATAGAGCGTCGGCCTGTGGACTAAAGGGTCCCAGGTTTGATTCCAGCCAAGGGCACATGCCTGGGTTGCAGGCTCAATCCCCCCGAGTAGGGGATGTGCAGGAGGCAGCCAATCAATGATTCTCTCTCATCATCGATGTTTCTATCTATCTCTATCCTTCCTCTCTGAAATCAATAAAAAATATTTTTAAAAAAGAAACACATATGGAACACAAAAATTGAAGAAGAAACCTGTGACATTGGATTTGAATTGGAAGTAGCAGCATTAATGTGGGATATAAGTGAAAAAATATATATATGTACACTTACATAGACATATATAATTTTTAAAAGAATATATGCTAGTTAATATATAGAGGAGTTATAGAAATATATATAAGTATATATATGTAGCCCTGACTGGTTTGGCTCAGTAGATAGAACGTCGGCCTGCAGACTCAAGGGTCCCAGGTTCAATTCCAGTCAAGGGCATGTACCTTGGCTGCGGGCACATCCCCAGTGGGGGGTGTGCAGGAGACGGCTGATCGATGTTTCTCTCTCATCGATGTTTCTGACTCTCTGTCCCTCTCCCTTCCTCTCTGTAAAAAATCAATAAAATATATATAAAAAAGTATATATATGTATATATACTACATAAGTATAAGTATATGAACCAAATAAGTATATATACATATTTGTATATACACTTATATAGTATATATATTATACATAGTTGTAGATATAGGCTTAGCTCTGCCCACTGGAAGAGGTGCCTAGGATAACAATAAGTATGCCTGACGGCTGAATTTTGATTTTGAAAATGGCATTCTCCATTAAAAGTAACGAGGGCTCCTTTGAGAAATGGCTGATTCCAGATCTGGGGCAGGAAATGTATAAATTGAGCTTGTACCGGATGCCCCTTGGTATACTCAAGAGCAAGGACATGATAGAATTAGAAAAGCATCATTTTGCAACCACCAATAATTATTCCACATCAGGACCATTAATTGTTGCTAAAATGATTATTGAGTAAAAGACCGTTGGTGCACAGGACAGTCATATGCTTTCATAATGCCACCACACATATTTATTAATTATAAATGGGGAAGTATACATTTGCAATGGAGAGATCTGGCAGTCACTAAATTAATCAAACTATTACACTTAGCATCACCAATAAGGTGACAATGTTATGTAAGTCCTGATGGCAGTGCATCATCTATGTGGTATTTGGCCCAAAAAATGTTAAACTTGAATGTAACTGTGACAAAACAATCCAATCTAGAATATGGGACATTTTGTAATACAACCAACACTAACTCAAAAAACGAAATGTCAAGGGCAGAAAGTCAAGGGAGCTATTCTAGACTAAAAAAAAATTAAAGAGACCTAACAATTAAATTCAATTACCCTGAATCCTGGATAAGAAAATAAAGTATAAGAGACATTTTTGGAACAGTTGAAGAAGTTTAAGTATGGGCTGTATATTAAATGATAATGGTGAATTAATTCATGTTAATTAATTTAATATCTTTGTTTTCATAAGATGAATGGTGAAGTGTTTAGGGCTGAAATGTTATCAGGTCTCCAACTTACTTTAAATAGTCAGAAAAAATGGAGATAGAAAAATGAAAAGGTGACAAAATAATAATTTGGGAAATCTGGATGAAGGCCTCATCTAGAAGTAGTGTGCTTGTAATACTGTTCTTTTAACTTTTCTGTACATTTGAGATTTTAAAAAAATGTTGAAAGAAATTTTTCTTTTATTATGTAAAAACTAGAGGCCCGGTGCATGGATTCATGCACTGATGGGGTCCCTCACCCTGGCCTGTGGGGATTGGACCGAAACCGGCTCTTCAACATCCCCCGAGGGGTCTCAGATTGCGAGAGGGTGGTTCTCGGTGACACACCCCGGAATCGGGCTCCTTCTTCTCTGGCTCTGGGTGCGTCACCCAAGAACCAAGAACTGTAGCTGCCAAGTCACTGCAGCTCAGCAACTCCTGTGTTGAACATCTGCCCCCTGGTGGTCATTGCATGTCATAGCTACTAGTTGAACGGTCACTTAGGCTTTTATATATATACTAGAGGCCCGGTGCACAAAAATTTGTGCACTTGGGGAGGGAGGGGTCCCTCAGCCCGGCCTGTGCCCTCTCGCTGTCTGGGACCCCTCAGGGGATGACCCCCTGCTGGCTTAGGCCCGCTCCCCAGGGGATTGGGCCTAAGATGGCAATCAGACATCCCTCTGGCAGCCCGGCAGCCCTCAGGGGATGTCCACTTGCCAGTGGGGAGCAGGCCTAAACTGCAGTCAGACATACTTAACGCTGCTGAGGAGGCAGGAGAGGCTCCCACCACCACCGCTGTACTGGCAGCCGTCAGCCTGGCTTGTGGCTGAGTAGAGCTCCTCCCATGTGAGAGCTCACTGACCACCAGAGGGCAGCTCCTGCATTGAGCATCTGCGCCCTGGTGGTCAGTGTGTGTCATAGTGACCAGTCATTCCCAGTCCTTCTGCTGTTAGGGTCAGTTTGCATATTACCCTTTTACTATATAGGATAGAGGCCTGGTGCATGGGTGGGGGCCGGCTGGTTTGCCCTGAATGGTGTCCCGGATCAGGGTGGGGTTCCCGCTTGGGTGCCTGGCCAGCCTGGATGAGGGGATGATGGCTGTTTGCAGCTGGTCACACCCCCTTCAGGGTGGGGGTCCCCACTGGGGTGCCTGGCCAGTCTGGGTGAGGGGCTGAGGGCCGTTTTCAGGCTGGCGGGCGACTGAAGCTCCCAACCTCTCCTTTTTTCTTTTTCTTTTTTAATTCTGGGATTTATTTACCTTTTATGGCTGTCACTGGAGCTGAGAGCCGGCTTTAGCTCTGAGGCTCGGCTCCAGCTCTGAGACCTCGGCTGCTGAAAGCAGGTATCTTGGTTTGTTTGGCTTCTATAATTGAAACACTGTTGCAGCTCCAGGTCTGAGGCCTGGCTGGCTGAAAGCAGGTTTCTGGGGTTTGTTTAGCTTCTATAATTGCAACATTGTTTCTTAGAGTGCAGCTCAGAGGCTGGCAGCGGCAGGCGGGGAACCTTGGATTCCTCCATCACTAGAGCAAGCAAGCCTTCTGTTCACTTCAGCTGCCTGGCTGCCAGCCGCCATCTTGGTTGGCAGTTAATTTGCATATCGCCCTGATTAGCCAATGGGAAGCGTGTTGGAGGTATGGTTAATTACCATGTTTGTCTATTATTAGCTAGGATAGATAGATAGATAGATAGATAGATAATACATACTTATGGTAATAAAGCATCATGATAAGTTTTCAAATGAATGTTTTTTTTAGGCAATTAAAAACTTGTTAGGCATCTATTTACTATTAATATAGCATTAATTTTTACCTTCTTATTTTATCTGCTTAGTATCTATTTATTGGAATGAAACTTTTGCATCATGATTTATAAATAACAAGAGCCCATGAGCCCTGGCCCTTGTTGCTTATTGGTGAGAGCATTGGCCTGCACACTGAAAGGTCTTGGGTTCGATTTCCGATCACAGGCATGTTCCTAGATTGCAGGTTCTCTTCCTGTACCCAGTTGGGGTGTGTGCAGGAGGCAACCAGTGGAGGTGTCTCTCTCACATCAATGTTTCTCTTTCTCTTTTTCTTTCCCTCCTCCCTCCTCCCTCCCTTCCTTGGAAAAGTAATGTCCTGGGGTGAGGATTAACAACAACAACAACAAAACACCCATGAGACAAGATTTTTGCTGAGTCTTTCTGGGTTTTTAATAAGACCCTGTTATTTATCTCTATGTATCAATTAGAAATTTTCTCATATCTTAAATTCTTCGTATTATTTAAATATGTATTTTTTATTTTTTTATTATAAACATTTGCAGCAAAATCTTCCTGGTACCTTCTTGTTCTTTAAGATATTTTTATGGTGTCTCATTTTTTACTTCTTCATTTATTCAACAAATATTTATTGCATACTCATTGAGTGCCAGATACTGTGCCAGGCTTTTATGGAATCTGAACAATGACAGTCTTTGTTTGTTTGTTTGTTTGAACACCATTGCTCTGGGAGAGCCTTGTATACAGTATACAAGTCTTTAATAGTAACCCAATTTAACAGACATCAGAACTTCAACTACTTTTTTTGTGTGTTTAATGTTGCTAATGTCTCTTTTCAAATCTGTGTTTTGCTTTTGTCTTTGATTCTTAGGTGTGGAGGCCTTTCTGTGTCCTTGCTTCCTACTTCACAGAGAACATAGAGGCTTTACGATGTGAACTCTATTGCTTCCAGCTCTCCCAAGTACAAACTTTTGTGCGTTTTTATTCATGCTTATTCTCCTTCCTTGCCTCGCAGTATGAAGTGTCACTCCCTTTTTTGCATTTGATGCTGTTGGCTATTTCCTTTTTCTCAAAAATCTCTGTTACCTTAGATTTCATGACTCCCCACACTGTTAATTTTCCTCACAAAACATCAATTCTTTTCTGCTTTCCGTTTTGGGGTCAGCTGTCACCATTTGCAGTTTAACTATTGATATCACTCCAGGTTCCATTCTTTGCCCATTTATTTTCTCACAGAACTTTTACCCTCTTACCCATTCCTTTGGTTTTATTTACAACGAAGACTTCTAAATCTGGGTCACATCTAGATATCACCCTTCACCTGGCATATACCTTCAGTTTCCAACTACCTACTGGATGTCTGCAACTGGGTATGTCATGACACTGCAAATTCCACAAGTCCCAAACTGATCTCTTCCATCACACAGTGTGTGTATTTAGTTCTATGAGATTTTATTACCTGTGTAGGCTTGTGTAACTACCACTAGAGTCAAGATACAGAACAGTTTATCACCATAGGACTCCTTCTTCTGGCCTTTTATATCCATGCCCACCTTTCTCCCCATCCCACTGCTTCTGTCACACCCTCACTCATTCCCTAACATGTGGCAACTTGGCAACTTTTGGCAATTCTCTGTACTTTTGCTATATAACCCAGCAGGCATGGCTTAATGGTTGATCATCAACCTATGAACCAGAAGGTCATGGTTTGATTCCCAGTCAGGGCACATGCCCGGGTTGCAGGGCTTGATCCCCAGTGTGGGGCGTGCAGGAAGCAGCCAATCAATGATTCTCTCTCATCATTGATGTTTCTATCTCTCCCTCCCTTTCCCTTCTTCTCTGCAATCAATGAAAATATATTTTAGCCCTGACCGGTTTGGCTCAGTGGATAGAGTGTCGGCCTGCGGACTGAAGGATCGCAGGTTCGATTCCAGTCAAGGGCATGTACCTTGGTTGCGGGCACATCCCCAGTAGGGAGTGTGCAGGAGGCAGCTGATCGATGTTTCTCTCTCATCGATGTTTCTAACTCTCTATTCCTCTCCCGTCCTCTCTGTAAAAATATCAATAAAATATATTTAAAATATATATATATTTTTTAAAAATAAAAAATGTTATATAAATATATCATGATACCTTTTAGAATTAATTTTTAAAATTTTAAATCGTTTTTAATTTTTCAGTTACAGTTAATATACAATATGATATTAATTTCATGTGCACAACATAGTGATTAGACATTTATGAAACTTATAAAGTGATCACCCCATCTAGTCTGGTACCCATCTGACACCATACATAGTTATTAGAATATTATTGACTATATTCCCTATGCTGTACTTTACATCCCCATGACTATTCTGTAACAAACTTCTTAACCCCTTCACCTTTTCCACCAATCCTCTCACCCCCCCCTCTCATCTGGCAACCATACCATTCTCTGTATCTATGATTCTGTTTCTGTTCTTCTTGTTTGCTTATTTTATGTGGGGTTTTTTTTTTAGATTCAATTGTTGATAGATATGCGTTTATTGCCATTTTATTGTTCATATTTTAAAATTTCCCCTTCTTTTTCTTCATAAAGAAGACCCTTTAACATTTCATGTAATACTGGTTAGGTGGAGAATTCCTTCAGCTTTTTCTTTTCTGGGAAGCTCTTTATCTGTCCTTTGATTTTAAATGATTCTAAACTCAGCTTTGCTGAGTAGGGTAATCTTGGTGTAGGTCTGTGCTTATCATCACTTTAAATATTTCTTGCCAATCCCTTCTGGCCTGCAAAGTTTCTGTTGAGAAATCAACTGACAGTCTTATGTGAGCTCACTTGTAGTTAACTAACTCCTTTTCTCTTGCTGCTTTTAAGACTTTCTCCCTTTAATCTTTTTTTAGTAATTGAATTCAGTTACTTCTGAAGTTTTTCAATAATAGATTGGTAAATACATATTTCTTTACCTTCACATTTTTTTCATATTAGGTGTCCTTCTCTGTGGCAAAATCTGGATTTTTCCCTTTTAAGATTCTTTTGTATATTACTTTGATACTTTTTTAGCTGTGTTTGTGTGTGTGTGTGTGTGTGTGTGTGTGTGTGTTGTTTTTTTGCTCCTGGATCTGAACTTCTGGTTTCAGCATCTACCGTGACCACTTCCCTGCACTTTTATTTTAATGATTCAATATTAGATAATTTAAGCCTAATTTTAATCTAACATTTTTATAAATGTGTTTTCTTTAAATTTCTAGTATATATGTTGATCACAGTTTATATATTTTGTATACTTAATTGACATAATATATTTGAGAGGCAATACCCTAATTATTCGGCCCTTTATTTTATATAAGTGTTAGCTTCTCTCTCACATTATTAGAATTAGCATTTTGTAGGTGGCACTTTTCATATGAGGACTTCTCTTGTATCAGTATAAACATGTCCTCCCTGATTTTGTACAGAACAATCATTTGCTTTCTAGGAAATGTTATTAGTTGCTAAAATAATGAAAGAAGTTAGATGTTAGGAAATTAAGGAGCCAAGAACACTGTTACTTTAATGAGAAGATTGAACATTTTATAATTTTTTTGCATTTCATGTTATTGAATACATTCCAAACATTTATAAGTGCAATGGATTGCTTTAGATACTAGGCCCAATGATTTTTTAAAAATCCTCACCTGAGGATATGTTTTTATTGATTTTAGAGAGGGGGAGTAGGAGAGTGAGGGAGGGAGAGAGAGAGAGAGAGGAAGAGGGGGAGAGAGAGAGAGAGAGAGATGTGAGAAAGAAACATCAATCGGTTGACTCCCATACAAGCCCCAACTGGGGATCAAACCCACAATTTAGGTATGTGCCCTGACCTGGAATCGAACCTGTAACCTTTTAGTGTATGGGACAATGCTCTAACCAACTGAGCCATCAGGCCAGGGTGACCAAATGATTTTGAAACACTGGGGAGAAGATATGGCTAAAGCTGCCATTTAAAAGTTATAAGCATGAGATTGTTGGTGGCAGCTGGACCATAGTGGTAGCAGACAGCCAGGCTGGACTCAACCAGAAGCTGAATTACTGCTACTGGCTTACAGAATATTGAGAAATGCAGAAGCAGTTTTTGAATATATAAATCAAAATGGAAACCCCCAACCCTATGTGGAAGAGTGCTTAGAGAGGTCTCTAGCTAAAAGTGAACAACAAGTAAAGGCAAAATGGACACAATAAAGCAGGGGTCCTCAAACTACGGCCCGAGGGCCACATGCGGCCCGCTGAAAACATTTATCCGGCCCGCCGGGTGTTTTTGCCTCCGCTGCCTGTCCTGCTTAGCAGCCAACTCGTCCCGGGCCCGCAGTGCGCATATATGGAATGTCTGAGGGACAGTGAACTGGCCCCCTGTTGAAAAAGTTTGAGGACCTCTGCAATAAAGAAATTTGAAAGCCTGTTGCTTCAAGAACTGACATGGCTAAGTATTGAAGTATACAAGGTGAGGATCATCCATCTTCTTAACTAACTTATTTTTACTAAGTCTGAAGGTATCTATTTCCTTTGTTGAACTGACAAGCTTGTAACAAGGTGTTTGTGAATATGAACAATATGAACGTTTTCTTAATGTGGAACTGGAACAATGACCTCAAGGCCATTATAATCTTCCTTGTAAGACACTTGTCCTTGTAATTTGACATTGCTGGATGTTGGGAAGGGAAGTTATGGAAGATGTAAAACCAGTTTTTCTATCTCTGTCCCTGAAGACTGATTTTATTGTCAGGTTTTCAGCATACAAGTGATTGCACATTTTTGGATATGATTTATTTAATTATTCTCCATGGGAAAACAGACCATAGGGAAATAGCTTTGGAAATATTAAATATGCTTAGTAAATTAAAGATTTTTAAAAATTACAAGTTATAAAGTTTTCTTTCTAGAATGGAACTAGGTATAAATTAAATACCCAATCCTTTTTTCCTCAAAGATATACTTACATACATACAGTCACCATTAAAATAACCATGGATATTGCCCTGGCCAGTGTTTCTGAGTGGTTAGAGTATCGGTCTGGGCATGGAAGGATCTAGGGTTCAATTCCTAGTTGAGGGCATGTTGTTACCTGGGTTTCAGGTTTGATCCCCGGCCCTGGTCTGTGTGTGTGGGAGGCAACCAATCGATGTGTCTCTCTCATCTCTCTCTCTCTCTCTCTCTCTCTCTCTCTCTCTCTCTCTCTCTCTTCTCCCTTTTTCTCCCCCTCTCCCTCCCTCCTTTCCACTCCCTCTGAGAATCAATGCAAAAAATATCCAAGGGGATGGATTAACAATAAAATACCATCGATATACTTCTTTGTCTTTTTGGATGGAGGTTATAGAAGGCATATAGAAATGTTAGTGTATTCTGCATTGAGATAGATTACACTAAACCACTAATTACTTCCATGGCAAAGGCACACTCTTGTTAGTGGAAAATAGTGTTGAGAGTTGCTTGCAGGAGATGAAGAATGAATGTAGAGGAGAAGCTGATGGGACACTTTGGTGAGAGACTTTGTAAGGTTTGGGTTTAAGTACCTGGGAAGCAAAGTGCCATGGATGTAGGGAGCAGGTCTTTCTCCTCATATCTGCACAGAACCCAGCTCTGTCCTGGCAATGTGCAAACAATGGCTCTGGGATTATCAGGGACTGCCTCCTTGATATGAGCACTGGGGAGCGAGCAACAGGTGCCCTCAACTTTAGTATCAGTGGTTCTCCTTCAGGCAATGTGAAGGGCAGTGGACAATGGCCAGGGGCAGCTGAAGCAGAAGAGGAAGAACTCAGTAGATCCAGGGTGGTAATTGATTTGTGAACACCTGAAAGGTGCAGGGTCAATATTACACCATTCCAGGGACACCATTCCCATTTTACTCAGTGTGAATCTCAGTTATACTTCAGGGAGTGACATTCACCCAGAATACAGTGTCAATTGTACCCCCAGGAATTAGGCAATGTGGCTACCTAGTCCTGGAAAGCATCCCTTTTGGAGATTTCCAAAAATAATTACAACTGTTTTACATGGACTGCTGAGGTTCAAATTATCAAACTGGTAGGGACTAAAGCCATTGTGATTTTGAGTTTTGAGATAATATATCCTCATTTTAGTCAGTTGGTCTGATAACATCTGGGAATCCTGGTTACTTCGTTTTATACCACTTTTGTCAGGAATTTTTATGTTCCCTTATAGCAGAGGCCTAGCTGGAATCTAAACAGTGTTCCTGATACAAGTGTATTATTTACATGAGGGCTTGGAGTGCCTCATAGGTGGGTCAAGGACCAAGAACATGAATACTTTTCCTTTTGTTCAAAGCTTGTTTTATGTTCCGAAATAATATTTTCTTCATTTAAGTTCTGTGTTTTTCTTGTCAAATATATCTCTAAGTAATTTCGATGTTTTTTTCTACTATGAACAGAGTATTTCACCTCATTTCCTTTTCTAAATGCTTATTAAAAGAATAGAGAAAAGCCATTAACTCTTTTTTTAATCTTGTCTTTAGTCATCTTTCTAAATTCTCATGAATTCTAGTAATATTTTTGCCCGCATCTCTTGAGTTTTATC